GGGCCGGGCGGCCGCGGAGGCCGGGTCTGCCGCGAGGCCGCGCCCCTGCCTCCTCGGGGATGAGCTCGCCCTTCCCAAGCCCTCAGGCCCCTCCCTGACATGCTCCCACCCGGTTTCCCCCTCCTCGGCCCGGGGTGGGCCCCTCCTCTCTTTCATCCCCGCCTGCCCCCTCCCCCGACCGACGACCACCCGGGAGGAGTCCCAGGCGCTACCCGCCCGGCCCCGGCCTCCCTCCGCGTGCTCTGCCCACCCGGGGCTCGCACTGGGGCCATCCCTTATCCTGTCTCTCCGGCCGGGAAGAAAGGGGCTGGGGAAGCCGCAGCCCTGGGTCCGAGCTGCCCGCCCAGCTCTATGACCTTGAGCCGGGGGCTACGTGCCAGGCCTCAGTTTCCCCGTCTTTACAATTGGGAGCTGGGTAGTTGACCCCCGGTATTGGTGGTTGGGGGCCTGCATGGGCAGAGCAGAGATAAGCCTCCTCCAGGGAACTGTCGGCAGTATCCGGGGGGCCCCCACCCCCTCTCCCTGCAGCAAACCCAGTGCCTGCCAGCAGTCTTGGCTGGGAGGATGACTCTCATCCTAGTCTCCTCTTCAGCCCCTTTCCCCTTCCTGGGGCCCAAGGATTGGGTTGCAGGACGGTTAGGACATGAAGACTGCCAAGACTCCCTCCTTGGGGGGTCCCCTTCCTGGGGTTTCCCCAGCAGCCATCACAGAGGCTCACCTGGTCCAATGCAGGTCCCATTTATGCCAGCCCCTCCAGCCCTGCCCTTTCCTAGCTCCTGTCAGCCCTCCCCCAGGCCCCTGAAGGCCTCCTTGGGGCAAGGGCCCATCTCACTGTCACCTCTGCCTTTTGGTCCCTGCATCCTCATGGAGGGCCAGGCTGTGGCCTGGGAGCCTGACTGTATGACCAGGCTTGCCCTCTTCAGGACTCAGTCTCCCGATCTGTACAATGGGGAGGAGCAGGTTTGAGAGATCCTCCAGGACCCACCCAGCTCCAAGGATACCAGGCCCCTGGAATGACTAAGCATGCCTAATGGCCGGCTTGAGGAGGTGCCAGGCATCCCCAGAGCAGGTGTCTGGGAGTGTCCAGCTCTGCAGGCATAGCTGGGACTCAGATGAGGCCAGCACCTCTGGGCTTCCTGCCTTTCTCCTCCTATGGGGACTTCAGCTCTGGATACACCAACCCAGCCCTGTCCAGTCCCTGCCCTTTGAAGGTTCCTCTTCCTGGATGGGCAGGGGAGGAAAGGGACTGTGACAAGAGTGTCACCTGCTGCCTTATCTCTAAATCCTGCTGCTTTCTTTCTCCCAATTGACCTTGCCAGACAGGAGTCAACCCAGAATGCTCCTGCTGGAGATTGGACGTCCACTCCTCCTCTTCAGTTTACAGATAGGGAAACTGAGGCCCACAGAGGCTTCGCAAGTTAGCCCAGGTCTCAGCAAGACTCTCAGACCGGCGTCCTTTCTCCTTCTGCTAGGCACAGTGCCTAGGTGCTCTGTGTGTGTGCACGAGGATGTGCAGGTCCACGTGGGGTGGGCAGAGCAGGCTGGGCCTGCACCAGACCGCGCCTCCGGAGAGCGAGTCCTGACCCCCTGTGTCCTTGCAGGAAGTGAGTTGCCCGTGTGTGCGAGCTGCGGCCAGAGGATCTATGACGGCCAGTACCTCCAGGCCCTGAATGCGGACTGGCACGCAGACTGCTTCAGGTAGGGCACGCTGGCCAGGGTGGGGGTGCCCTAAGCAAGGCCTGCCAGCGACAAGAGGCTGGGTCAGCGGTCCAGGGGACCTGGCTAGTCCCTCTGGTGCCGTCGTCTCTGGTTGTGACTTCCAGCAAGTCCGTGGCCTCAGTTTCCCCACCTGTAAAAATGAGGCATTTGGACTAGAAGGTCCCCAAGGGCCTTTCTGTTCTGTCATCCTAGATCTCTAAGGAGAGGAGCGGGGAGACCTGCATTTCCACCGGTATTACTGAGGCCTACTGGCTCCTAGGCAGGGGGAGGCCGTGGAGGGCAGCGTGCTCCAGAGAAGGAAGGAAGATACAACCCAGGCCCCACTGTGAGCATGCACAGCCCAGTAGGGCCAGCCTTAGAGAGCTAACTCCAAGTGTCAGGGCTGTGGCCAGCCACAGGGAGACCCAAAGGTGGCCCAGCCACCCAGTAGGACCATCCTGAGAGGCAGGTACAGGGGATGGCCTTAGAGTTAGCAGCATGGCCAGAACCGGGGTCTCAGAGACGTGAGATTTCCCACATGGAGAAGTGTGGCAGGAAGCAGTTCCAGGCAACGGGCCTGGCAGGTGCCAAGGGTGCCGGGGTGACAGGGCAGGGCCAGTCAGCGAACAGCAGAGTTGAGGTGGGAAGGCATGGACCACCAGCTAAAGGGGTTTATTTTAGGCAGTGGGAACCTCTGGCAAGGTTTGTTTGTTTTTCGTTAAGAACATCGTCCAACATTTTCTGCGGTGCAGGAAGGGCCAGGCACCCTGCTAAGGACTTTGTCTAGTAGATTTTGTGTTGTCTCCATTACTGGGGACACAGAGGTTAATTCTCTTGACCAAAGTCACACAGCCAGCGAGGGAAGTGAACACACAGCGCCCACCCTGGGTGGTGAGGCCAGAAGAGAGGCAGGTGCCAGGCCCGGGGCTCCCAGTCAGGCGTTCACAAGGAGGCCTTCAGGGACAAAGAGGGCTCTGGATAGGCGGAGACAGCCACACGCCCCGAGACAGACACGGGAAGAGCTCATCTGGTTGGAAAAGAGCGAGCGGAGGAGGCAAGGTTGGGATCAATTTGTGAAATGACCCCAAGGCCAAGATAAGGACCTTCCAAGGTCAGTAGGGAGTCAGCCGAGGGTTTGCAGAAAGCAGGGGAGGGACGTGGGCGGAAGTGCTATTGAAAAATGCCATCCCAGTGGGCAGATGGCGGTGACTTGGCAGGGAAGGGACTGTCACAGTAGTTCAGGGATCTGAGCTCATAAGGCCTGACCTAGGACAGTGACTACAAATGGACAGAGGGGACAGTTCTGGCCAGTAGTCATATTAGCCGCTGTTAATCGGGCACTCTTAACGTTCCCCTTGACCCTGAACGACACAGGTTGGAACTGTGCCGGTCTCCTTATATGCAGATTTTTTACAGTACGATACCATAAATGTCTTTTCTTTATGAATTTTTTAATAACATTTTCTAGCTTACTTTGCTGTAAGAACACGGTAGGTACTACGTATAACACACAAAATACGTGTAAATTGGCTGTTGATGTTACGGGGAAGGCTTCCGGTCAACAGGAGGCCATGAGTAGTTAAGTTTGGGGGAGCTGAAAGTTGCCTGTGGGTTTGTGGCTATGTGGGGGTCGGTGCCCCTAACTCCTGCATTGTTCGAGGGCCAACTGGATTTCATTAAGCCTTCACCGTAACCCTGTGAGGTACCATGACTTGTGCAATTTACATGCAAGCACGGGCTGGAGCCTGTGTTGGCCTCGCTCCCAAGTCACCGCAGAGGTGAAGAGGTGAGGGGTGCGGGAGCAGGGACTGGGGAACAGCAGGGGGAGCATCTGGAGTCGTCTGGGCTTTTGCCCTGGCTGCTGGGGAGGATGGCGCTCCTTCAGCTCTCCTGGAGTTGGGGACCAGGTTGATGCTGAGCTGTGCCCAGCCACGTCGCGTTGAAATGCAGCAGGCCATCCAGCATGGCAGTGCCCGGCCCCTGAGCTGGTGAGGTGGCCTGAGACCCGTCAGAGGTGGGAAGGCTGGAGAGGCAGCTCCCTGGGGCCAGGATGCTGAGATGGTGGATGGATTGCAGGATGGGGCCGAGAGGAACCGGGAAGAACTTTGGGGGCCCCGGTGCTGAGGGCGGGGAGGGAGGTGGAATATAGGGAGACACGGGGGGAAGGCCGGGAATGCGGCGGCAGAAGCCACAGCAGGGAAGCGGGGGGGGGGCAGGGGGAAAGGATCTAGCGTTGGAGGGGGTCCCTGCCCTGTGACCAGGAGACAAGTAGGGCCCCGGGTCAGGGCAGTAGGCAGAAGGCTGTGCCGCCGTCCCGGGTGTGATGGGGGTACAGGGGAGGCTCCCACAGTGAGAGGGGGCCCACAGGCAGTAAGAGCCACGGCGTCCGCATTCTGGCCTCCACAAGTGCTCCTGGCCCCGTGGTGTGCGGTTCTCCCAAAAGCCCCCAAATCTCAGCCAGGCCAACAGTGTCCTTACCCCCATGACCGTTAGGAGGCACTGTCGGGGGGGAGTCACTGCTTGCCCAGGCCCCATGGCCACCTGGCAGCCGGGCTCTGGACTCTACTTGCTTTGCCCCTCAGAGCCTCTCGGTGCCATGACATGGGGCTGGCACTGGCTCCCGGGGCCCCGAGTTCCTCGCGATGGGCGAGTTGAGAAGGCACACGGCCTGCCTCTGGCATTAGCACAGGGGGTCACTGTCACCACAGGGCCCGCTGCTTCCTCAGTTCTGCCTGTCCCACCTCCTGTGGGCCCCGCCTCTCGGCAGGTCGCGGCCAGGCTGTGAGTGGTCCGAGCTTGGCTCTGGTCCAGCTGCTGGCCGGGGAGGTTCCTTCTGAGAAGCCGCAGCACACCGGCCTGGGGCCACGGGTGACATCTCCCCGGAGGCAGGGTGGGCTGGGCCCCCGGTGAGGAGGGGTGAGCGGGCAGCGGGCACGGGGTTCAGAGCCTGGGCCGGGGTGCGGTCTCCCCCTCTCCGGGGGACCTTTCAGGCAGGGAGGACAGACCGTCCACGGAAGTCAACCTCTGTTCCCTTGGGAGCAGCACCGGAAGAAGCAGCTGCTTTGGAGCTTGTCCCTGTCCCCAGAGAGTCCGGAGCCTCCGGTGCCTTTGTCCAACCGGAGGCCCAGGGGCCTGGAGGGCGCTCTCTCAGGTGTACAGGGCTGAGGGCGGAGCGCAGACCACCTCCTCCCTGCCTGCACCAGAGCAGAGCCCAGGCAGAAGGCCCCCCAACGGCTTCCTGTTGTGGGCCCAGACCAAGTCCTCCTCAGCCACAGGCTGCATCCTCCTCCCCTGCTGTGTGGCCACGCTGGCCCCACCCTCTGCAGCCTCCAATCCTGAGGGCCTGGAGTAGGATGGGGAAGCAGCTGGCCCGGCCACCCCTGCGCTGCCCCCCTGCTGCAAGGGATGCTGGCCCTAAGAAGAAGCCGCTTCCTCAGAGGAGCCAAGTAAGTCCAGAGGCCCCCCCACCCCCAAACTGGCCCAGACCTCAGGCAGGGCTCCTGGTGTGAGGGCCCCCTGGGGCCGGAGGCCACCGTGTGGGGCAGACCTACCTGGGACGGGGCTGCTCTGGGGGCAGAACTGAAACTCCTTGGTCACTGTTGGCCGCCTGCTGGGGGAAGCAGGCCGGCCACTGCTGAGACTTCTGGCCCTGTGGTCCGGTCTCCCGGCGAAGCTGGTCATCCAGCTGTTCTTCCTTCGCCCCTGGTTTCCAGGGATGTGGCCCTGGCTAGAGGGCATCCCTGGGAGGGATGGACCTGTCACTGCGGAGCTGGCCACTGCCCCCCCAGTGCAGCCCTCCGGCCCCGAGCCTGGCTCCCAGGCTCCGTGCCTGCCTGTCCCTGGGCCGTCTCTGCACACCCTCAGTGCTTGCTGCTCCTCCCTTGACATCCCTGCTGGGGGCAGCAGCATGTGTGGGGGCGCCCCTGAGAGTCCCACCTGCCTCTTCTGGCTGGGGGCCGGATATGGGCCTGAGAGGTGAAGGGACGGACAGGGGCAGGGGCTCCTCAGTGCCTTCCACACGCAGAGGTACACTGAGGCCCTGAGTGCCGGCACCAAGCTGCTCTGTGAGCCTGGGCTGGATCCCCTGTCTGAGATGGAGGCCCAGCCGGCCGTGCCCCCCGGGAGCCGTTCTGGAGTGCTGGGGGTGGGACCTGCTCCAGGTGCAGTGTTCTCCGGGAACCACTTCCATTCTCTCTGGGTCCAGCATTTGTGGCTGGCTGGCATGGGACCTCAGCCCTCGGGGTGATGGCAGAGGCTGGCGGTGCAGGGGCATCCCAGCCGGGTGACCGAGCAGGCTTCAAGGAAGCAGTGACCTGGGAGCCTGCTGCGCTCCCCCAGCCCGTGGGGGAGTCCGCGCCCCGGTCGTCCAGGGCTGCTGCAGTGGGGAATGTTTGTGCGGGATGCGGGGGTAGGAGTTTGCAGGCTGGAGAAGAGCATTCTCTTCCCCCAGAGGAAGCCGAGCTGCGCCGGAGCCCCCAGCAGCCCACCCACCCAGAGGCAGACAGGGGCCCTGCTGCCCGCAGCCTGGCAGCCAGCAGTGAGGGGGAGATTTCTTTGGGGACACTGCTGTGACGTGCTGTCTAGCCAGTGGAAGGGCAAAGTGAATCACTCACTGATGGCACAGGGTGCTCGGGCGGCGGGGGAGCCTCCCCAAGGTCACGGTGCGGTGCGCGCGCCCGCCTCTTGGCGGAGCCGGCTCCTCGGCCGTGCACCTTCCCGCCAGGTTAGAGGCCCCTGAGGGCGTGCGCTAGGGATCCCCCTCTTCCTGGGCAGCTGCCTTACTTGCCCCTTCGCCCACCCCGCAGTGAGATGTGCGCCCCCTAAGGGCGCCCCGGGGCTGGGGCCGCGTGTGCGGGGGCAGGAAGGGCTGAGGATGACGTCATGGCTCGGGGCCAGCGTGGCTTCCGCTGCCTCCTCTCACATCCCTGGGCGGTCTCCGGAGGCCCGCCCTGCCCCACTCGCACCTTTCTTAGGGAGAGCTCATCGGAGCCCCCCACCCCGGATGCACCCCCACCCCGGTGATTCGAACCCGGGCATTTTGTGCCTTCTCCTCCCCAGCCCCCAGCCCCCGGCTGTGGTCCCCCGCCCCTCCCCTCAGGCTCCCAGACAATGGGGAACTGGCTGGATCCTCTTAAAGGGACAGTGTACCACCAGCACTCCTGGCTGCCTTCCTCTTGTCCTCTTCATCCCCAGTTCCTAAAGAGCATCAGTGAGTGCCGTCAGTGCAACCACCCGTGTGCTGGCTGCAGAGGCTGAGGGTGCCCTGGCTGCTGGGCACCGGGCAGTCTCACTCAGGCCCCGGTCTTTGCCGCCTTCCCCTCTGCTGGATTGTTTCCTAACTGGGCGCGAGCTCTGAGCCTGGTACCAAGTCCCTGCCTGACCTTGGCACATAACCCAGAGTGCTCAGACAGCAGCGGAGTCGGGCAGATTCTCTGCTCACTGTGTATTCTGGCCCAGACGATTGTATGCAGCCAGGACCCTCCATCAGGCTCCTCAAAACCCAGTGTGGCCCGTGCCCCTGCCGGCTGGCTCCCAGGGGGCATCGTGCATTTCTGCATTTGCTCATCCTGACTCAGCTGAGCTGCTGGTCCCCATCCAACTCACTCTTGGGTGGAAGGAAGCCAGGCATGTAGGTCTAGCTCCTGGCCTGTGGGATAACACAGAAGGAAGCAGGTGCATCATTTCGCCGCAGCTCCCTTCAGGGGCCCCAGCCCGGCCTCTCCCGCAGCCCCTCCCGACAGGGCAGGGGGTCCTGGCCTTGATGACCGCACACCTGGGTGTTCTGCATGCACTGCTCCTCTGAGGGCGGGTGCAGGCGCTGGGGCCCTGGTTGAGCTGGGGTGAGCAGGGCCGGGCCGAGCCCCCTTCTTGGGGCTGCAGCACCCAAGGGCTGAATAAGGTCTAGGAAACAAGGAGATCCTCTGTCTTCACTGATCCTGGCTGGTGTCTGCTGAGCCACATTCCTGCCTTATATCATAGTAGAACAGGGAGTAGCTTTGCTCTGGGTCTGTGGCCTCCGTCACGTGACCTTGGGCATTTAGAGCCTCCAGAGTTCATCTGCCTCGAGGTGGCCAGTGTGGATTAAGTACATTTGGCCAAGACAGTGGGCAGGTGCCAGCATTTGGTAGCTCTTCACAGCTCCACCGGGTCACTGCCATCTGCATCAGCCCCACCCGCGTCCTCGGCACGCAGGTTCCATCCCCCCCCTCCACCGCACTGGCGAGCAAGAGCAAGTCGTTTGTCTTCCCTGGGCCATCTGCCATGCCTGACAAGGGACAGGGGCTCAGATGTGAAGAGCATCTCTCACCCAGGGAGTGGCAGGTGGGCCAGATGATCGGGTGCGGTGGGTGGTCGTGCAGGTTGTGCACTGTGCAGAGGCTTCCAGCTGCGGGGCCAAGAGAGGCTGAAGCCATCCCCGACTCCACCTGCTAAACCCTGGGCCCCAGCACAGGCTGCTTCTGCCCGAGGGAGGCACATCTTTTTCTAGTTCTTAACAGAGGCACCTGCTGTGGGGAAAGGGGCTGAGCCAGACTAAGTCCCTGTGCCTCTTGCACCCAGGTGTTGTGAATGCAGTGCCTCCCTCTCGCACCAGTACTACGAGAAGGATGGGCAGCTCTTCTGCAAGAGGGACTACTGGGCCCGCTATGGAGAGTCCTGCCACGGGTGCTCGGAGCACATCACCAAGGGGCTGGTCATGGTAAGCGCCCCGCCCCACTCACACCCCACACCTGGTGCAGGCATATGTGTGTCCTCACGGGTTTCCCCTACCCCGGCTCTCTTCGGTTCTCCTTTTCACTGGCTCGGACTACCCCCTGCCTTCTGAGCCCGTTGGTCTGTCTGTGTGTCTCTGGAACCAGCATCCTAGAGCGGGTCAGCCAGGCCCCCAAAGTTGGCTTGGAGCTGCCCTTCCGAGAGGAGGCTGAGGGGAGGAGCTGTGGGGACTGAAGGGGTTGCTGAGCCGGGTTGTCCCTGCCACCCCCCTGCCAGGTGGCCGGGGAGCTGAAATACCACCCCGAGTGCTTCATCTGCCTCACGTGCGGGACCTTCATCGGTGACGGGGACACCTACACGCTGGTGGAGCACTCCAAGCTGTACTGGTGAGTGTGCGGGCCCCCTCCTAACCTGGGGTGCCCACCCCGTCCCGGGTCTTCCACACCGGGGTCCTTTCCTTTCCCGCGTGGGGCAGGTGTTAATAGAAGTTCGGTGTAGAAGTCACTGAGAAATGACACGGTTGTCACACTGAGAACTCCCGCCTCACACGCCCGCTCTCCCGTGTCACGGAGGTGTGGTTCTGGCATGCACCCCGCAGGTTCAGACCCAGTCCCCAACTAGCCCCACGTTCAAGGGTTCCCACAACCCCTCAAGTTTGAGAATTCACTAAGCGACTCCGAGAACTCAGGAAAGCCCCATACTTAGGATTACAGGGGTTTTTATAAAGGGCGCAGATCCCTTTTTATGAGGGCCAGCCAGCAGAAGTGACACCAAGAGCAAAGTGTGGGAGGAGGTCCCCAAATGTGGAGCTTCCATGCACCGGCCCCCCCACCATGGAATCAGCACATGTGACACCCCCACCTGCCCTGGCATCACCAGAGTTTTTTATTGGGGTTTCATTATGTAGGCACCATTGATTGAATCATTGGGCGCATGATTGAACTTAATCTTCAGCCACCCCCGTCCCCACCCCCCCACCCCCCCTCCTCCAAGGTCGTAAGGCTGGGTCACAGGCCCCACCCCTCATCTAATCCCATGGTTGGTTCTTTCTGGTGACTGGCCCCCATCCTGCGTCCCCTGTTAACACAAGCTCAGGTATTCCAAGGATTTAGAGCCTCTTTCCCAGGAACCAGGACAAAGACCAGACAAATTTCTTTGTTATACAGTGCTGATAAAGCTGGATGCCCCGGGCGGCGTGGCTTAGTCCCAAATGGGCTTTTAATGACTTCCTCCTGAACTGGATTTATCCACAGGCCTTTTTCTGGCCAGTTTACAGCATGACAGGAATAGAGTTGCCCAGAATGACTGAGCTCCAGAGAGCGGTAGGGGTTGGGCTGGATGTGCTCAGTTCCTGTTCCAGGCCTAGTGGGCAGCTACGACCCTCCTGTCGCAGGGAGCCGGAAGCGGGGGTGGGGAGGAGAGAAGAGCCAGGGGCTGGGAGATGGGGGGAGTGGTGATGCTGGTGATTGTCCTGACACTCTTTTCTTCCCCCTCTGTGGGTCCCTACCACCTGTGGCCCTTGCAGTGGACATTGCTACTACCAGACCGTGGTGACCCCTGTCATCGAGCAGATCCTGCCCGACTCCCCCGGCTCCCGCCTGCCCCACACAGTTACCCTAGTATCCATCCCAGCCTCAGCTCATGGCAAACGTGGCCTCTCAGTCTCCATCGACCCCCCACACGGCCCGCCAGGCTGCAGCACAGAGCACTCCCACACCGTCCGCGTCCAGGGGTAAGTGTGGCTGTGGCCATGGGTGCTGGGGGCGGGGGGGTGGACTCTAGGGCTGGGCAAGCATCTGGGCACCAATAGAACCCGGCTCGACAACCTGGTGTGCCACATCCCTGGTCCAGTCAGTCTTTTAAAAACTATGACAGGTGTTAGATAAAATATTTAAAACTTCTTTAATCCATGTATAACCCAACAAGAAAGAGGAGTAACCAGGTCAAGGATAATTGATGCAGGAAGCCTAGGAGCGTCAGCAGAACCAGGGAAGACAGCCATGCCCTGAGGCAAATCGAAAATGAATGAACCTAAGCTTCAGTTTTTAAGTCCTTTCGTGGCTGGGCCTCTCAAAGCCCTGACCTGCTCGAGGAAGCCGGTCCTGCATTAGAGAATCCCTCCTCCATTAGGCTGAGATCCCAGAGGGCTCTCAGGGTGAGGATGAATGAGAAACAGACCACACCTTCCATCAGCCCCCCACTCCCAGAACTGAAAGATAAACTGATTTGAGCCTGAATGGAAGGGAGGGGGACTCTCCCCTGAGAATACATAAACTTGGGTTTGCAGACCAAATTCATATGCCTAGATGGCTCAAAAACCCCCAAGTCACAACTGTAAAAGTTTCAAGTACTTCCCAATTGGCAGTGGTTCCCAGTCCCTGACAGAATCAGATGCAGATTTTTTTCATTGAATTTACTGAGCTAAACGTCCCAAGGAAGATGGGCAATTCAGTGAAAAATCACTGAACGCATAAGGAAACAAGGCTCACTATGAGCGAGAGCCAGCAGAAACAACAGGAAGTAGAACCAGACCTACAGAACCTCCAGAGACTGGAATGATTGGAAACGATGTAAAATAATTACACTCAGTATGTTGTAATCAATAAGAGATGTTTGGAAAAAATAAGTAAAGAGCAAACAGATTTGGAAAAGAACCAAACAGAACCCCTAGAAACGAAATAATGGAAACCTCAGTACGAGGGTTTAACAGCGGAGTAGGGCTCTAAACTACCTAAGGGAGAAGCAGAAACAACAAAAGGATGAAAGCCGTGAAAGAGAGATTAGGACCCATGGAGGACAGAGGTTAGGACACATGGAGGCCATTTGGCGTCCCAGGAGAAGCACGAGATGGTGGGAGGGAGGCGGTATTTGAAGATACAGTGGCCATAGAGAATAGACAAATCATCTTCAAAGCGGGGGGGCAGCTGATTTCTCAACAGTAACAGTGGAAGCTGGAAATAAGCGAAATGATGTGTTCAATGCCCTGAGCAAAAAATAACCATCAGCCTAAGATTCATTCTGTCCTTGATGAAAATACTCTTCCAGAAAGGGAGAGAAATAAAAACACGTTCAGGCAGACCAGATTCAGGGAACCAGGATTGGATGTGAGCAGGTCATCCCTAACGAAGGTTCTAAAGGATGTAGAAAAGGTTTGAAACACAAGAAGGAAGGCAGATAAAGGAGCCAGCCCAGTGGCCAGCATGCTGTGTGACGCTGAGTCAGAACCCCCTGTCCTCTCTGGGCTTTAGGGTCTTCGTCTGTACAGGGAGGAAGTTGGGCACCTTGGAGCCTTCTAAGATCTCTCCTGGGCTTTGATGGACTCCTTGAGAAGTAGCTTTAAACGTCCCCCAAGTGGGCATGTGAGCCAAGCGCCAGCTTCCATGGGGTCCCGCGCACACCTCTCCCACAGCTGTCCGGTCCCGGCTCCGCAGCGAGGCACGGGTCAGGAGGGGAGGCGGTGCCGGGGACGGATGCAAGGCCGGCAGCTACCTCGGATACACAAGCGGACAGACAGACTGGTGAGAGAGACGGGGGGAGCTCCCAGACCAGCTGCTCTCTCGAAACCAGGCAGGATTTTGGAAACAAAAAGCCAACAGCACCTCCTCCCTGCCTCCCTCGCTGGATGGGCATGCTCACCAGCCTGCATCTGCTGGCCCAGCAATTTTGGCCCAGAGCACGCCCCTCGGAGGAGCGGCCCAGCCTGCCCAGAGGCTGCTGACCAGATTCACTTGTTCGTTTTGAACGAGTCTTCGTGGACCGCTTTTCTTCTTGTCGATAGCGGCATCTGAAGGAAAGTTTAAATTCCCTCTGTGCCCCAGCCCCCTGCCGCCTTAGCAGGAGACTGAGGGGAGGCAGGGAGGCTAAGGAATATACTTGGAAGACCGTACCCACGAGAAGCCTGTATCGACGAAAGATACTCACTGTTTTTCAACCTTTATCTGGAAATTTTCAAATTTACAGGAAATTTCCCAAATAAGTACATTGAATACCTGCCCACCCTTCACCTATGTTCACCAATTTTAACTTTTTTTTTTTTGCCACATTTAGGGTATGTGTGTTTCCTCGTACACATACATATCTGTATGTTTGTATGATTTCTTTATATTTACGCGTACGGGTATGTACACGTTGCTGTTATTTACCAAGTCACTTTGAGAGTATGTTACAGGTGCTGTTGACCCTCCCCACCAAATACTTCACACATTCTTCTAAAAACAAGGGCATTCTCCTACATAATTTTCAGTCGTGTCTTACAGTGCAGTTATGACGTTGAAGAAATTTAACACTAACGTGATACTTCAATCCAGCACAGAGTCCACATTCACATTTTGCCAGTTTCCTCAACACCATCCTTTATGGCCATTTCCCTCCATCCAGGATCCAGTCCCTGACCTCACATGGCATCGAACCCTCGTGTCCCCTTCAGTCTCTTTGAATCTGTGACAGGTCCTCAGCTTTTCGTTGTCCTTCATGACCTTGACATTTATGAAGAGCACAGGCTGATAAGTAGAATGCCCCCCCCCCCAGCTGGGTTCAGCTGCTGCGTCCGCTTTGTCGGATTCAGGTTATGCATTCTGACCTGCTGCGGCATTCATGATGCCGTGTCCTTCCTGCATCCTCCGACCGGACCCACGAAGTCAATAAAGCATGCCCTTTATTGGGGATGTCGCCTTTGTTTACTTGGTTAAAGTACAGTCAGTTGTCTGCTGTCCAGGATATTGTTTTTCCCTTTGAAACATAATCAATAAGTCATTTGTGAGATTTGAATCTGTAAATACCCTGCCCCCGGCAGCCTGTCCCCACATGGTTTTAGCATCCGTGGTGGATTCTTAGCTGTATCACTTAACTTCTGCAATGACTGCATGGTGATGACTGCCCAACTCTCTTCTTCCTTTCGCACAAATGACCTGCCTTTCCAGGGAAAGGCAGAGCTTCCCCCCCCCCCGCCCACCCCCGTGTGAGAATATACTCTTGATAACGGAGAATTTTTATGAAACTTTTCCTTTTTTTTTGAGAGAGCGAGTGCACACACGAGGAGGGGAGAGGGGCCGAGGGAGAGAGAGAAAATCCCAAACAGGCTTCACGCTCAGCTCAGAGCCGACGTGGGGCTCGATCTCACGACCCTGAGGTCATGCACGACCTGAGCCAAAACCAAGAGTCAGACGCTTAACCGACTGCGCCACGCAGGTGCCCCCTTATGAAACCTTTTTCTTAAAGTCCCCGGTCTCCTTTCTGTTCCACTCCCTACCCCTTCCCCATCTCAGGGCAGAGACAAAGTAAACATCCCTTAAGAAGCTTTCGTGAAGACAAAGTGAAAACAAGGTAACCAAGGAGTTCAAAGAAGCAAGTAAAGTTGGCAAATTGGCCATCCCACGGGTTCGAGAAGAGTGCCATCCTGTCTCTAGCCTGCAGCTGTGGCGAGGGTGGGCTGCTAGCCCTGTAATGCTGACTCTGGAGGAGTGGAAGGAAGCCTTAGCCTCATCTTGTAGGGCCAGTTTGGGAATCTGGAAGCCAAAGGATCCAGACCCTCTGAGGACTCATCTCGTGCCGCTCGTCTGCCTGAAACACACCGGGCAGTTGGAAGGCTCGGTCTGTCCTCCGTGGCAGAGACCGCACTCTGCCCAGCGGGAGCCCCTGAGCCTCCAGGATGGAGCAGCAAAGACCACTTCTCTCCACTTTCACACCCACAGCCGACATCCGTAATCAATGACAGAATTCTTCCCCACCAAACCAGAACTCCAGATTCTAGCCCAGTGCCATCTGTCAGGGCATGCAACATAGAAATTAATTTGCCTCCACACCCCGATCTGATCCCCTCGGCCTTGGCTTCCTGTCAAGGCTCCAGGGGATAGGCGGGCAGGGGCCTGACCACTACTGTCTCTACGCACAGGGTGGACCCAGGCTGCATGAGCCCAGATGTGAAGAATTCCATCCATGTCGGAGACCGGATCCTGGAAATCAATGGCACGCCCATCCGGAATGTGCCCCTGGATGAGGTATGGGTCCCGAGTCTGGTGAGCAGGATTGGAGTGCCTTCACGCCTGACTCCTCCCCCACCACCTTGGACTCACCTGTCCGCGCATCCACTCTCCCCAGATTGACCTGCTGATCCAGGAGACCAGCCGCCTGCTCCAGCTAACTCTTGAGCACGACCCCCATGACACGCTGGGCCATGGGCCGGGGCCTGAGCCCAGCCCCCTGGCCTCCCCAACTCTTACTCCCAGCGGGGAACTGGGCAGCTCTCCCCGGCAGAAGCCTGTCTTGTAAGTCAGCGCCGTGCCTTGTTGTATCCAGATACTTCCACGGACGCCGGGCCTCAGGGGGATGGGGCCTAGTCCTTGCTCTCCAGGAGCTCCCAGTCTGGTGGGCGAGTCAGCCTTGCAGGAAAGCAGGCCAGCAGGGGGTGCAGAGGGCTAAGACGGGGTCATGAGAGGTGGGAAAGCAGGGGACCCAGCTTCCCCGGCTGGGGGTTACAGAGCGCTCCCAGGGTGGACCGGCGCCCTGGCTTCAAGGAACAGCAGGTAGGTAGCTCAGGACGATGGGAGCATCGAATGTCGTTGGGAAGGGGTGGGCCCCCTAAAGGGCGTGTTTCAGAGACCGCTCTGGTCCCCTGTGCACAAGGGTGCCCAAGCCGAGAGATGGCTCGCAGGCCATTGCAGGGTCCAGGCAGGAGGTGCCAGGGACCCCATACTCTCTTGAAGGGAGGGGGAGCACAAGGAAGAAACCCAGAGGCAGCCTGATCCTCGCTCCACTCACCGTGAGGCCTGCTCAGGACTCCGGGCAAAGATTTTTGGGGGATACCTTCTGGGGAAATCGCGTTTACTCTCAGGAACGGTGGTGGTGAAGGCCTGTAGTTGCTCCTTGCATGCGTTTGTCAGGAGTTCTAGCTGCCCTCTGGAGCCAGCTACACGGCCGGCCTACGGCCTCCTGGCCAGGCTGTCTGTCTCCGCACCCCAGGGCCTGGCACCTGAATGCTGGGAGACAAAGCATCTGACCTGGGCTACCAGGCAGAGAAGGCCAAGGGTGGACGGTCCTGCGGAGGCCACCTGCAGGATGGCAGGCCTAGGGCACGGCTCTGGGTGCTGGCGTCAGGATGGGGCGAGAGCCTTACGACCGCCCAGGAGATCCGCCCTGTGCCACGCTGTCCCGCACCGCGGTGGGGGTGCTGATTGTACGTGGACTGGCGTGGATGGGAGCGTGGTAGGCAGGAGGAAGGGGTTAGGGCTGCTGGTGCCCAGCTGCCCCGTAGACACTGAGCACAGCGTGTGCCTCCCCAGGAGGAGCTACAGCATCGACAGGTCTCCGGGTGCTGGCTCACTGGGCTCCCCAGCCTCCCAGCGCAAGGACCTGGGGCGCTCCGAATCCCTGCGCGTGGTCTGCCGGCCACACCGCATCTTCCGGCCATCGGACCTCATCCATGGGGAGGTGCTGGGCAAGGGCTGCTTCGGCCAGGCCATCAAGGTACGAGGTGGGCCTGCGCAGGGGTGGGGCCGGAAGTGGGAGCGGGGGACGGTGCAGGTGAGACCCTTCAGTCCTCCTGCCTCCCTCCACTGCCTCCAGGAACCCACAGTGGAAGGGGCACCCGGCTTCCAGACTCCCTAGCCCATACTCTTGCCCCTCTGGGCTTCCCGGAGCTGGTTAGGGGGAGGGGACTGCCCTCAGAGAGACCCCAAACCTTATGTGGAGGACGTGGTTGGAAGGTGGGGGGTGGGAGGGTGACCCAGGCTGATCCAGAAGGCTCCCTCCCCGGGGGCCCTGTACTGAGCCTGAGGCCAACCCCTCATGGCCCCTCCACTGCTCACCCCCTCCCACGCTCCCCCGGTAGAGACCTAAGCCCTTCCCTGGCTCTGATGTCCCCTGGCTGTGACCAGGCTGGAAGGTTCAGGATCATACAGAAGGTGCCCATCAGGCCCTGTGCCTGGTCCCCTTCCCGGGGGGGGGGGCGGGGGGGGCAGATAGTCCCTGGCAGAGCCACCATTCGACCTCCAGGAGACTGCCCAGCAGAGCAGAGGACAGAGAGCTGGGCCCTGGGTCGGTGGTCCTGGACCTGAGCCCCAGCCACCGCCTGCCCTCCTGCTGGGTGACCTTGGACGCTCTCGGCAGCCTCCTGAGGCCCCACTGCCTCATCTGTGAGGGAATCAATAAGTCCTGCCCCTCGGGGGCTGGGGGCATCACCTGAAATGCCCACGAAGAGCTTCAAGCCTGGTGTGTCCGTCTCCCCCGCAGTTTGGGGGTGCGGCTAGGGCCTCCTGCAAGGCGGGCAGAGAGCAGAGCCTCTGATGGTACTGAGTCGCCGTGCCTCGGTGTCCCCACAACAGGTGACGCACCGGGAGACAGGCGAGGTGATGGTGATGAAGGAGCTGATCCGGTTCGACGAAGAGACCCAGAGGACATTCCTCAAGGAGGTCAGTGAGCAGAACTGCCACCCCCTCAATGGAGAGGGGTGACACAGGGTTCCGGGAGGATGGGACGCTCGAGCCACACACTGGAAGAAGAGAGAGTATCTCGCCAGGAGAGCGAGAGGGGCAAGGGCATCGCTGGGGGTGGGCGCAGCGCACGCAGACCACACGGTGGCCGGCAGGTGTGGCGTGGGCCGGGCGGGCGGGGACTCGTCCACCTTCGGGACCGGTGGTGGCCTCTGGCGGGGCAGCGGAGGGAGAAAGAGACTGGGGCACAGCCCCCGGCCTAGCCTGTCTGCACCCCACCAGGTGAAGGTCATGAGATGCCTGGAGCACCCCAATGTGCTCAAGTTCATCGGGGTACTCTATAAGGACAAGAGGCTCAACTTCATCACGGAGTACATCAAGGGGGGCACCCTCCGGGGCATCATCAAGAGCATGGTGAGTGCCCGGGCAGAGGCCCCACCTGCTGCCCCGTCCCCGCCACCAGCACTGTGGGCCCTGGGCAGGCAGCTGCTCTCTCGGCCCCCTCGGCCCCTTCAGCGGGCTTGGCCTCCGGTCTCCAGGGCCCTCCAAACCCTGATTCTGAATCAGACAGGGAGCGACCAAGTCCCAATTAAAGCTCACGTCCAGAGAGGGCAGCAGCTTCGCCGAGGGGACACACAAGCTGTTTCGGGGTGGCCGCCCTGTGGACCCCCGGCCTGGCCCAGAGCAGCCAGACCAGCCAGACCCAGCCTTACCTGCCATGGGGCGGAACACCTCAGGAAAGGCACCTTTGTTACCTCTCCTCTGGGAGTTTTTTTACTATTTACTATGTTCTGCAAAATTCGGAACTTTGTTGAAGGCCTTGGAGAAAAATTGCAAATGCAAACTGAGAACGTATTTGGGGAGGAGCTTGTAAGCACCTGGTACTCTCGGACGGTGCCCCATCTCGGCATCCCCCTGAGCCCAAGCGCTCCTGTTCCTTTCCTGCACCCCAGATGCCTCCTTCCCTCAGGCTGGGTCCCTGCAGGCCCCTAAGGTGCGACTTCTCAGAAAGAATTCTGTGGTCAAGTACAATTTGGAAACGCCGGGCTACACCCTCTTGGGCGTCCTCACTGCACTCTGGTCTTTTATATGCTCTGATGTCCTCAGCCCCCACTTGAGGTCTCCGGCGGGGGTGGGGGGATGGGGTGAGAGAACCAGGCGTCTCCCCGGATGAACTGAGCCCAGAGCCCTACTCGCTAGTGCTCAGTAGGCGCTCTCATTGGCCCCGTCTGTCTCTGCCCGTACAGGAAAATCGGTGCAGATTTTCTAAAAACCTGAAAGAATGGGATTGTGTTGAAGATAGAGGGTTTTTTTCCCCCAAAGAGCTGGATCGGGAGCTACAGAGGAGTATCCCCCACTTTATGTTTGAAATCACGTACTGGAAAATGCCGTTTTTGAGTTAATCCACCCACACCCCTTAGATGCGGACAGGTGTGGGGGCAAGAGAGAGTTGGGGGGTGGGGGTCATTGGACTCTCCGGGACACCTGCTGCCTTGGCTTCTCTCTGCCCCAACCGTTCTGCCACCGTGACCCCGTTGGCCCATCCTGGCCCCTTCTCTCCTGCCCCCTCAGGACAGCCAGTATCCGTGGAGTCAGAGGGTGAGCTTTGCCAAGGACATCGCTTCAGGGATGGTGAGTAGGCTTGGGGAGGGGGTGGGAAGGGGTGGGGGCTGGGTGATCTGCCCCCGCTTATGAAAAGATTCTGTCCCACTAACCTAAAACTTGACGAGGAAGTCAGAGACGGAAGCTATCAGGAAGCTCTGAAAAAGAGCAGGGGGGATCAGATGGGGGTGGGAAGAGCACCCCTCACTCGCCCGATTGGGGCAGCCTCTGGGGAGCCAGGGCTGGGCTGGGCCGGGACCCCTCAGCACAGCGGCCTCCTGACCTCCATGCCCCCTGCCCCCAGGCCTACCTTCACTCCATGAACATCATCCACCGGGACCTCAACTCCCACAACTGCCTGGTCCGAGAGGTGAGCCACCTGGGCCCGGGGAGGGAGACCGCAGGAGGCCCGCCCCGCACACTCCTAGCCTCGGGGGCCCTTCTGGGGACCGGGGTCCTGGCTCGCCCCCTCCACTCCTCCTCGGGCCGTGCGGAAGTAGTGCTAGGAGGCAGACGGACCCGGCTCAGCCGTTTACTTGGACTGTGGCTCCAGCCCTCTGAGCCGTCAGCATCCCAGGTTGTTAGGAGGCTCTGAGAAACGGATAAAGGAGAAAGTGACGGGTCATCTGTGATGGCTCGTGAGCGTGGCGTTGCCAGAACAGTCCACGGCAGGGCGGCCAGGCCTACCACACGCCGCAGGAACCCTGCAGGCCTGGAGCAGGGCCTGGGCCGGCCTCTGAGAGGCTCTAGGGCCACATACTGAAGTGGGGAAGTGCGGGGTGGCGGGGGGAGGGCGGCGAGCCCAGGGTCTGAAGGGTGGGGACGGAGGGGACCATAGGCTGTCCACAGGAGGCAGTGGGGGGTGGCCGGCCAGGCCCAGCTGGAGAGGTAGGACACGCACATCACAGAGAACCACAGACTGGATGGCTTGGAACAACTGAAATGCACTCGCAGGGTTCAGGAAGCAAAAGGTCCTGAACCAAGGTGTTGACAAGGTGGGCTCCTTCTAGAGGCTCTGAGGGAGAATCTGTGCCATGCCTCCCTCCCGGCTCCTGGAGGCTCCTGGTGCCGCTTGGCATTCCTTGGCCGGCAGCCACGTCATTGCAGCCTCTGCCTGAGTCTCCCCGCCGTGTGTCCTCTTCTTACAAAGACAGCAGGCACTGGATTTAGGACCCCCCCCCGCCCCGCCCAGATCTAGCATAACCTCATCTGAACTAGTAGTATCTGCAAAAGTCCTGTTTCCGAATACAGTCACTTTGAGAATCTAAGTGGACATGAATTTGGAGAAGGAGACTCTTCATCGCACTACAGGCAGGTTGAAGTCAGGCCTGGAGGAAGAAGTTTCTCCAGGCAGGCTTTTGCCAAACGAATTCAGTACAGGAAGTGTTTCAGGCCTGGCGGTATGACAGGAAGCAGTGAGTTGGTCACCGTGGAGTCGGCGGGGCAGGGGGTGGGGGCGGGTGTCTCAGCCCACTGGGAATTTCCAGGAGGCTCTGGGGGCTCATGGGCTCAGAAAGCAATGTGGGGAAAGCAGTGGGCGGTGAGCACAGACAGGTGGGCGAGGCTCGAGCCCTCTCACACTGCTCCTGCTGGCAATGAGCGTCACCGCAGGGCTGAGCCCATGTGGTGTGCGAGGCCGGGAAAGGGTGACCTGTCACAGCTTCCACTCTGCAGCAGGGGGCAACCCCTGAGAATCTGATGAGAGTTGTGAGCTCCCCCCCAACCCCCGCATCCCCAGAATCCATCTCTGCACAAACCAAAACCTCTGCCTACCATTTGTGGCCTCTGAGAATCCGGTGGTCACCCTTGGCTGGTCTCCCTGGAGCTGTCTCCCATAGCAGGGTCTGGGCCCTACCGTACCATTAGTCCCTGGGGGACTCTTCAAAAGTGGAGGCCCTCAGAGGGATGGGGCGGGAGTCAGCGCTAGAACAGTCCTGGCAGACCCCGCGCATGCTCAGCCCCTTCCACCTGCTGTCTTTGTAGTTTTCTCTAGGCAGCTGTCCGCGTTGGTGTCACTCCCAGAGGCGACAGAGTCCTTCCCTTCAGAGTGAGCCTGGTCCTAAGCCCCGCCTGGCTGGGGCCCTGCCGCCTCCACCTCTGTGCCCACTCCTCAGTGTCCGGGCACCGTGGCCAATCCTGGGGCTGGCACGTTAGCGGACCTCCCCAGCCCCCTGACTTGGCACCAGTGCCCCAGGGTTCCCTGCCTGCCCCCTGGCCTTCAGGGGGGCCCCCACCCTGATTGTCCCATCTTGCGGGGGACACACAGCCGTCAACATCTCCACTCCACGGGGTTCCGGGCCTAGAGGGGCTCCTGCAAACTGAAAACAGTGGAGCTGACCAGCTGGATGGCCTTGGGCAACTTTCTTAACTTTTCTGGGCCTGAGTAATATCATGTGTAAAGTGGGTATAAAAACAACATGCACCTCCCCAGACTGTTGGAGGGAGGAGTAAGAGAGAAAGCTGTCCGGGGCCAAGCAGAGGACCTGGGTCTTGAATGAGAACCACCACCTCCCTCGCACAGCCGGGTGGCCCCGGCACCCTGATGGGGTGGACACAGTACTCCCAGACCCCCAGGTGTCCGAGGCGCGTCCTCGGAGCCGTCTGCGGATCGGGCCCGACTAGGCGTGGGGTGCGCAGGTGGTGCCAGGAGCCTATCTCAGTGAGGCCCCGCTTCCTTGTCACGTCAGAACAAGAACGTGGTGGTGGCCGACTTCGGGCTGGCCCGGCTCATGGTGGAAGAGAAGACACAGCCCGAAGACCTGCGAAGCCTCAAGAAGCCGGACCGCAAAAAGCGATACACGGTGGTGGGCAACCCCTACTGGATGGCGCCTGAGATGATCAATGGTGAGTGGACCGGCCCGCCCGTCACATCTGTCCAGGCCCAGCGGGTCCAGGCAGGTCTGCGGCCCCCCCAGTCCCCGGCCCCCGCCGCCTCCTCGGCTCCCTCCTTGGGTCCTGTGACTCCTTTCCTGTCCCGCTGTAACAAATCACCACCCGCTTGCCTTAAAAACCAAATTACCACCTAGTCCTGGGAGTGGGAAGTCAGGTGTCGGCTGGGCTGGGCTCCTTCTGGAGGCTCAAGGGGAGAACGTGTTTCCCTTCTAGCCTCTAAAGGCTGCCTCCATTCCTTGGCCTGAGGCCCCTGCCTCCGACGAAGGCTAGGACCCTGGCACCTTCTCTGACCTCTGTGTCCATTGTCAGGTCTCCTTCCGTGTCTGCCTCCCTCATAAGGACCTTTGTGGTTGTATCGTCCTCTGTCCATTTCCAGATCCTGAACCTAATCACACCGGCAAGTCCCATGCAAGGCAACATCTTCACGGGGCCCAGGGAGTAGGTGGTGGACAGCCTGGCCCGCCCGGGGCTTCTCTCCCACTCCATTTCTTTTTCATCAGGCCCCTCACCCAGTGACCCACATTTGGCTCACACGGTGCGCTATAAAGCCCCCGCCTGGGCAGGTGCACACATGGGGTCAGGGCGGGCAGGGCCGGGGGCTTCTCGGCACCAACCCCACCCAGAGTTAACATAACCGCTGACTTAACCTGCAAAATGGGGCTCCCTGCTTTTAGGGGGGGCTGTGAGGCTCAGCTAAGGTTTGTAAACTAGTCAGAATCTGACACGTGAGAGCAGCCGTACGGGTTGTTTTTAATGTCCCACGGTAGATGGTCTTATTCCCTATGTCACAGCTGAAGAACCTGAGGCTCAGGGTCTGTGTCCATCCCTGGGGCTGCCATCAGCAGATTTCCACCAACTGGGCGGTTTAAAACAACAGAAATGTATTCTCTCATAGTTCTGGAAGCCAGAAGTCGGAAATCCAGGAGAGCCGTGCTCCTTCCAGGGATCTGAGGGGAGAACCCACTCCTTGCTGCTTCTAGCTGCCGGTGGCAGTCTCGGGCTCGTGGCCCCCGCCGCCTCTCCCATGTCTCCTCCTCCTCAGTCTCTCTTAGGACACTTGTAGTGGTGCTTGGCACCTGCCCAGATAATCCAGGATTCTCTCATTTCAAGATCCTTAGCGATCATATTGGCAAAAACCTTTTTTTCAATAAATGGTCACACGTCTCAGGGGTTTGACATGGATATTTTTCAAGGCCACCACATGGTCCATGACTTGCTTGGAGTCACAGCTGGTCAGTGGCCGAGCTGGGCCTGGAACCCCCTGCCCAGGGCTCTCATCCTCATCCCCCAAAGGTTTGCTCAGACCTGGTGGGGTCAGGGGGGGTGAGGGGGCAGAGTCTAAGCCCTGGGCCCTTGGAGGCTGCTGGCCTCCGCCTCCTGGCCTCGGCCGGTGGGCCGCCGATCCAGCCTCACCTACTGATAGCCGGTGTCTTCACCCAGGCCGCAGCTATGACGAGAAGGTGGATGTGTTTTCCTTTGGAATCGTCCTGTGCGAGGTAGGTCCAGGGGCGGGCGGCAGTTGGCATGAGGCTTGGTGGCTCCTGTCCACTCCCGGGCTGCAGGCTGCAAGTCTGCAGGGGCCCCAGGTTGTGGGGGAGCTCCTGGGAACAGGGCTGCCCACAGCAACCTGCACCCCTGGGGGGCATGGTGGTCAGGTGGGTGCCAGATCAAGTGTGACCTGTTCCCAGCCCCAGGGACCCCTCCCCCGCCCCCCGCCCCCGTGGGTAACTGCTGGGCCTTGTGCGGGACAGATCATTGGGCGGGTGAATGCGGATCCCGATTACCTGCCCCGCACCATGGACTTTGGCCTCAATGTGCGAGGCTTCCTGGACCGTTACTGCCCCCCAAACTGTCCACCGAGCTTTTTCCCCATCACTGTGCACTGCTGTGATCTGGACCCTGAGAAGAGGTAAGTGCGGTCGGGGCTCCGCCGGGAGCAGCCCTAGGGGTGGGGCCGGTCCCCCCCCGCGGAGCAGAACCCACCACCCCACCCACGCGTCACCCCAGGCCCTCCTTCGTGAAGCTGGAGCAGTGGCTGGAGACCCTCCGCATGCACTTGGCCGGCCACCTGCCACTGGGCCCGCAGCTAGAGCAGCTGGACAGGGGCTTCTGGGAGACCTACCGGCGCAGCGAGAGTGGACTGCCTGCCCACCCCGAGGTCCCCGACTGAGCCCCGGCCGCCCCCGTCCCCACCGCCGGCACCCACTCCTCTGCGGGTCGTGGCCGGCTGTGGAGCCCTCGGCCAGGCGGCAGGCGCCCAGACTCCTCCCCCAGTGCCAGGCCCCGACTGGCCTCCTCTGTCCCAGGGGCCGTGGCCCCTGCCCCATCTCTGCCCCTGGCCCCAGAGCTGGCCTGGCTGCATACACACCGTCACCTCGCCCTGCCTTACCTCTGTCTTGGTGGGGCCAACCCCTCTCGCTTCTCCTCGCATGAGCTGGAGGGCCCGCGTGAGTCCCGCCCCATCCTGCACCCCGCCGCCCCCAGCTGTCCCATGCACACCCCATCTGTCCGCAGCCCCTCTGAGGCCGGGCTGGTAGACAGCCTCGGCCCGGGCCCACTGACGGCTGGGTACGTAGGGGAGGGCGCGGGGTGGGGGAGAGGCCGCATTGCTGGGGTGAGTCAGCCCCCCGGCGGGGTGTCTCAGTAGCCACAGGTATTGATAATTACCCAAACCCCCAAACACAGAGAGGTCTGCCCCTGTGGAACGGAAGTCCCCGGTCGCTCAGCCACAGGCCTCTCTTGCTTTGGGTCTCCATTTCTTTCTTGAAGCCACTTTAGTGAGAAGCAGGTACCAGGCCTCAGGGTGAAGGGAGGGTCCGCTGGGGGAGAAGGGAGTCACATCCCTGGGTCAGAGCTGCCGGGAGGAGCCACAGAGGGACGCTGGGCCAAGCGACGAGGCAGGTGTCCACCAGCATCCCAACCCCCGCAGTTCATCTCAGTACCCCTCCCGGGCTTCTCCCCCAGGCTCCCCCCGCCACCCATGGCCCTCTGTCCTCTGGGTTCTTTCTGTGTAATCTATTTTTTAAGAAGAATTTGTATTATTTTTTCATACGGCTGCAGCAGCTGCTGTCGGGGGGCTTGGGGTTTTATTTTTCTGGCGGGCGGGGGTGGGGGGGCCATTTTGTCACTTTGCCTCAGTTGAGCGTCTAGGAAGTATTAAAACTGTGAAGCCTTCTCAGTGCACTTTGAACCTGGAAAACAATCCAAACAGGCCCATGGGACTACGAGTCCGGAAGGTGGGACGCGTCCCCTCCGTCCAGGAGTCGTGATGTCTAAAGAACAAAACCCAGACTCAGAACAATAAAGTAAATTCCATACTCCCCACCCAGATTCCCCGTTGCCATGTGTGTCTGGGGCCCCCGAGGATCCAGGAACGAGAGCGGCACTTTGTGACTAGAAGCCCGATAGGAAGACAAGAGTGGAGGGCAGGTGGGGACAGGCGCAGGGCGGGAGGGGGTGGACCGCCCAGCCACTCGAGTGGAGACTTCTCCAAGGCTGGGCTTGGGAGCGGGGAGATACTAGGGAATGTATTGCTTTCATATAATAGTAAATGTTCTCTTCTTTCTAAAATTTAAGGGATCCAGTCAGGAAAACAAATCGCACTAGCTCTTTGAAATAGAGAGCGTTTGATACAGGGGATTGTTTAACGCAGCGGCTGAAAGACCGTGGAAGGGTAGAAAGCAGATACTGGGCTAACCAGAGATGGTGAACTTCGGGAAGCAGCTACCGCGCCCCTGGCAGGGGCATTTAGGAAAAGAGGGGGTTACTTTAGCCATCTGGGGTTGGCATATCAAATCACCCCTTAAACTCAGTGGCTTGGAAGAACAGTGATCGCTCATGACTTTGTCAAGAATTTGGGAGCAGCTTGGGTGAGTGGTTTTGGTCACATACTGTCTGGGCTGCAGTCCTCTGAGGATGTGACTGGAGCTGGAGGGTCCACTTCCTCCCATGGCTGCAGGTTGATGCTGGCTGCTGACCAGAGGCCTCAGTGCCTGTCAGGGCCTCTCCACAGGGCTCCCTGAGTGTCCCTGCAGCATCCTCTAGAGCAAGCATCCCAACAGAGCCAAGCAGAAGCTCCACTGCCTAGTCTCAGAAGTCCCAGCATTATTTCCACCATATTCCACTGATCACACGGGCCAACCCTGATTCAGTGTGGGAGGGGACTACACAAGGCCACGAATACCTGTACCAGAAGGGATCACTGGGGCTCATCTGGGAAGCTGGCTAGGACCTTGGAGGGAGGAGCCCTGTGAGACCAGTGCTTGAATTTTTTAAGGTTTTTTTTTTTTTGAGGGGCACCTGGGTGACTCAGTTGGTGAAGCATCTGCCTTTGGCTCAGGTCATGATTTCAGGGTCCTGGGATCGAGCCCTGCATGGCGGGCTCCCTGCTCAGCAGGGAGCCTGCTTCTCCCTCTCCCTCTGCCCCCCCCCGCCGTGCACTCTCTCAAATAAATAATCTTTATTAAAAAAAATTTTTTTTGAGAGGGAGAGCACACACAAGCAAGGGAGGGGCAGAGGGAGCGAGAATCTTAAGCAGGCTCCACACCCAGCAGGGAGCTCACGACCCTGAGATCATGACCTGAGCCAAAATCAAAGAGTCTGACATTTAACCGACGGAGCCACCCAGGTGCCCCTGCAGTGCTTGGATCTTTGATGTGTGTTGTGGGGGGAAAGGCTGGATTCTAAGCAGTTGATGCTGGAACTTCTAAGAAGGTGGGTGCAAAAATGGTCATTGCTGGAGCCAAAATCTGCCACTGCTGACTAGTGTGGGAGAGCACAAGAACGAGAAAGTCCCTTCGCTTGTTTCACTTCCAGGTCTCCCCCAGCTGCCAGGGAAGCCTGGGAAATGTAGTTTTCAGCTGTCCAGCAACAGCATCACAGAGAATGGAGTGGGTGTGGGCCTGAGACAGAGTAACCAGCACAGTCCACCTCTTTGGCTGCTCGTCACTTGTACACATCTTTCTCCTGTATTCGATTTCCATATGACTCTAACAGCTTTGTGCTTCCCCCCAACTAGGAGTGAGGATTCTTTGTGCACCCATCGTTCTCTTCCTAAAAGGGAGGGACAGCAGCATGCTGGGGTCACCATATCCACCACTCGGATTCCCCTTGAGTGTTGTGTAACTTAAATAATGAAGTTCACCATCCTCATCAATACGTTTACATCAAATAAGGGAAGTGGCGGGGTGGGGGGGAAGTTAGTTGATGGACACACAAGCAAAGAAGAAAATACCCAGAGCTGCTGTGTTCCTCACTTCCCCAAACTGGTTCTCATGTCATAATTCGATTTTTTAACCCTTATAATGAGATACAATTCACATGCAAGTCACCTACTTACAAGATAGTTTCTAATATCTTCACAGAGTTCTGTGACCACACCACAGTTTAATTTTAGAACATTTTCATCACTGTCTTGACAGTGTCCTTTGATGCACAGAAGTTTTAAATGGTGATGAGGTGGGCAGATGGCTTAAAAGACACAAACAACCAAAACTCACCAAAGAAGAAATAGAAAATGTGATCGATTGTTTATTTACCAAATGAACTGAATTTATAGTTCAAAACGTTCAGAAAAGGAAAACTTCAGGCCCAGAAGGTGTTACTGGCAAATTTAAAGGAGGAATTCTACACAAGTTCTTCTAGAAAATAGAAGAGAAGGGAGCACTCCTTAATTCATCTTATGAGCTCAGAATTACCCTGATACCAAAATCAGATACAGGATAAGAAGAGAACAGTTTCACATCAATATCATTCAGGAATAGAAAAGCGAAAGTCTTCAGCGAAGTATTAGCAAATAGAATCTAGGGCTGTCTAAAAACAATATACTATGACCACACAGGCTTTATGCCAGGAATGTACTAGCAGTCCCAATATTTTAATCAATCCATGGAAAAACCACAGCGATACACCACTTCACACCCACCAGGATGACCATAATCTTTTGAAAGAAAGAAAAGGAGTGTGGGAGAGGATGTGGAGAAATTGGAACACATGCTGATGTGAATATAAAATAACGCAGCTACAGTGTAAAACAATTTGGCAGTTGCTCAAAATGTTAAACAGAGTTACCATTTGGTTCTGCAATTCTCTCAGGTATATGAACAAGAGAAATGAGAACATACGTACACACGGAAACTCGCAGGTGGATGTTCCTAGGAGCCAAAAAGTGGGAACAACCCAAATGTCCATCGGTGGATGAATGCGTAAACATCTGGCATGTCCACACAATGGAATATTACTCTGCCTTAAGAAGGAGTGAAGGACTAATGCACACTACACCAAGGATGAAAACACTAGGCTAAGAGAAAGAAGGCAGACAGAAGAGCTCACATGTTGATTCTGTGTACATGAAGGGTCCAGGCAAATCCACGGAGACAGGGAGTAGATTCATGGGGGAAGAGAGGATGGGGAGTGACTGCTAATGCGTATGGCGTTTATTTGGGGGATGAAGAAAACGTTCCAGAATTCGATAGTGGTGATGGTTGCACAACCCTGCAAACATACTAAAAACCACTGAATTATACACTTAAAATGGTAAATTTTAAGGTGTGTGAATTATGTCGCAGTTTTTAAAATCATAATATTAGATGATACCAAGTGACGCTGAAAGCATCTGGCAAAAATTCAACATCCGTTCCTGGTTTGGTTTTTTTTTTTTTAAGATTTTATTTATGTTTTCAACAGAGAACGATCGAGCGGGAGGGAGAGGGAGAAGCAGGCTCCCCGCTGAGCAGGGAGCCCAATGCAGGGCTTGATCCCAGGACCCTGGGATCATGACCTGAGCTGAAGGCAGACGCTTAACCGACTGAGCCACCCAGGCGCCCCCATTCCTGGTTTAAAAAAAAGAAAATCTCAGCAAATCAAAAATACGAGGTAACGTCCTTAAATTGATTTAAAGGCTACAGAAAAACCCACAGCTAACATTATACTTAATGGTGAAAGAATGTGTGCTTTCTTCCTGAGATCAGGAAAAAGGCAAGGACGTCCATCCAGCCTCACCACTCCTAGTCACCACTATTCTGGAAGTCCTGGTCATTGCAGGAAGACAAGGAAGTGAACAAGAAGTAAATGTGTACAGGGCACCTGGCTGGCTCAGTCGGTAGAGCATGTGACTCTTGATCTCAGGGGGTTATGAGTTCAAACCCCACATTTGGTGTAGCGATTACTTAAAAATAAAATCTTTTAAAAAATAAAGGGGGCGCCTGGGTGGCTCAGTCGGTTAAGCGTCTCCCTTCGGCTCAGGTCATGATTTCAGGGTCCTGGGATTGAGTCCCGCATCGGGCTCCCTGCTCAACGGGGAGTCTGCTTCTCCCTCTGCCTGCCACTCCCCCTGCTTGTGCTCTCTCTCTCTGTGTCAAATAAATAAAATCTTTAAAAAAAAAAAAAAATTTTTTTCTCTCGAAGTTCTGAAAAACCAAAATCAGGATCTCTTTTTTGATATTCTCTACTTGATGAGTATTTCCTTTAATTCTTTATAAACACGTGTTTCTTTTGTTCTTTGAACATATTTGTAATAGCTGATTTAAAGTCTTTGTCTAGCATCTGGGCCCCCTCTGACAGTTTCTAGTTACTGCTTTTCTCCTGTGTTTCGGCTACTCTCCTGTTCCTCTGCATGTCATGCACACCAGAGTTGGTGTATCAGCTCCGCCATGTATTAGCTGTGTGACCTAGAGCAAGTTACTTTACCTCTCTGAGCCTCATTTTTCCCAAATGGGAGCTAGAAACTCCTCTGTGGGAAGGATTAAATGAGATCTGTCTTGGGGTGCCTGGGTGGCTCAGTCAGCTGAGCGTCCAACTCTTGATTATATGCTGGAGCTTCCCAAATTCCCCCATGGCTATCTTGTGCCCTAGATCTCCTCAAAATTGCAGCGAGTCACTTGCTTGCCCCAAAAGGCATTGAAGCCTTAGGCGGCCATGACATTGGCCTTCCTCCATTTGTTTGCCACTAATTGATATTATTTTCAACACTGCCTCTCACCATGAGTTTTTTTGCAGAGCTCCAAATCAGGTCAGCCCCTCCAGTGGCCAGGAGGCTGCCAGTTTTCAATGGCCACCATGTCCTGGCCTTTGGGGGTGGGAAGGGGGAGTCACCTAGAGATAAAATGTCACGGACGCCACCATTATTAATGAGGCTGTCGAGTTTTTGTCGAATAAATGCCTTTCAATTTGCTGTCTGCCTCTGGTTAACTTCCAGGGTACTGAAATGATTGTTTTTGATAATTTTACCAGCTTTTACCATTGCTTTTTTGAGCCAAGACCTTCACCAAGGTCTTGCCTGGGTCACTTGCCCTCCTTGTTCCTCATTCCTTCTTAAAATACTCTA